CACAGTCCCATCCACCAACCCTAGCTGCTACACTAGCACTATCCACACAGTCCTACCCCTTCCCAGCACTATCCACCACAGTCCCATCCCCCAACCCTAGCTGCTACACTAGCACTATCCCCACAGTCCTACCCCTTCCCAGCACTATCCACCACAGTCCCATCCACCAACCCTAGCTGCTACACTAGCACTATCCACCACAGTCCTACCCCTTTCCCAGCACTATCCACCACAGTCCCATCCCCCAACCCTAGCTGCTACACTAGCACTATCCACACAGTCACCCTTCTCAGCCCTACTCACACAAGTCCATCCCGCAACCGTAGCTGCTGTACATAGCACTATCCTCACAGTCTTACCCTGCCCAGCACTATTCCACCACAGTGCCCATCCCCCTACTTAGCTACTAGACTCCGGCACTATCCACACGTCCTGACCTGCATATCACCCAGTCCGATCCCCAACCTTAGCTGCTACACTAGCGACTATCCAGCCAGTCCTACCCTTCCCAGACTATCCCTCACAGTCCAGTCCCCGTAACCCTAGCTGCTACACTAGCACTATCCCCACAGTCCTACCCCTTCCCAGCCGTATCCACCACAGTCCCAACCCCCAACCCTATAGCTACTACACTAGCACTATCCCCACAGTCCTACCACTTCCCAGCCCAGGCTGTTACACCGCAGCGTGTAAGCGTCACTGCGTGCATGTCTCATATATACGTTAGACATGCGGCATGCGGGCATATTGAGCCGTAGATGAAGCCAGTCACAGATTCTGTAACAGCAGAGAGAATGAGATGCCAGCGTATTAGGCCGTCAATGAAACTAAATATAGCTTCCCGGGATATATATATATATATATATNGAGGAGTAGAGAGAGGATAGAGAGGAGACTAGAGGAAAGAGGAGACAGCGAGAGAAGCAGAGGAGAGAGAGAGGACGAAGAGAACGGACAGCCAGAGAGACATGATGAGAGCGAGAGTGGATGACTGAGACGAGGATGAGAGAGTCGCGAGAGAGGAAGAGAAAAGAAGAGAAAAGAGAGGGATAGGAAAGAAGAGACACAGCGAATCCAAGAGGAGGGAGAGAGAGAGAGAGAGAGAGAGAGGAGAGAGAGAGAAGAGATAGAAGAGAAGAGGAGAGGGCGAGACGAGAGAGAGAGGAGAGAAGAGAGGAGACGGGATGAGAGCATGAGAGAGAGATAGAGTGGGAAGAGACAGCGATTTTTGAGAGAAGGAGAGGAGAGAGAGAAAGGCCGGGGAGAGGAAGAGAGAGAGATGGAGAGAGGGAGAAGGAGAGAGAGAGACAGCGAGGGGGGGAGAGCGAGAAGCGGAGGGGAGAGGAGAGAAATAGAGAAAGAGGGAGACGCAAGAGAGAGAAGAAGAGAGAGAAGAGAGAGAGACGAGAGAGAGAGAGAGAGAGAGGAGAGAGGAGAGAGAAGAGAGTACCGAGGGCGAGGAGAGAGGAGAGAGAGAGAGAGAGAGAGAGACAGCGAGAAGGAGAGAGGAGAGAGAGAGACAGCCGAGAGAAGGCGAGAGAGAGAGAGCAGAGAGAGAGAGAGAAGGAGGAGAGAGAGAGAGAGAGGAGAGGGATGAGAGCAGAGCAGAGATGAGAGGCAGACCTGAGAGGAGAGAGAGACGACAGCGAGGAGAGAGAGAGAGAGAGAGAGGGTAGAGAAGAGAAAAAGAGAGAGGGACGAGGAGAGAGAGAGAGAGAAGGAGAAGAGAGAGAGAGACGAGGAGGCGAGAGAGAGGGGAGAGGAGGAGAGAGCAGATAGGTGAGAGAGAGAGAGACGACGAGAGAGGGATCAGAGAGACAGCAATGAGCGAGGGAGATGAGAAGATGATAAGCAGAGAGAGAGAGAGATGATGAGGGAGAGAGCAGGGGAGAGAGAGAGAAGAGAGGGGACTGGGAGAAGAGGGAGATAGAGGGAAGATGACAGCGATAGACAGAGAGGAGGAGAGAGAGAGAGAGAGACCGAGGAGAGAGAGAGAGAGAAGAGGCGAGAGCAGGACGAGAGATAGAGAGAGGAAGAGAGAGAGGAGAGAAGATAAGAGAAAGAGGCGAAGACAGCGACGAGACGGAGAGCAAGAGAGAGAGAGACGAGAGAACAGAGAGAGAGAGCAGGCGAGAGAGAGAGATATCGGCAGAGAGAGAGAGAAGAGAGAAAGAGAGAGAGAGATTAGATAGAGAAGAGCTGGCACTCGGGTTCTATAATCCCGCAGCCAAGTAGTAATCCCAGCGGGTGGCGGGTTGCTTGGCCGGACAGGCGATAAATTCAGAAAAGCGCCATCGCGGAATAGAGTAAGTGCCTGTGTGCGACAAAATGTAGAGATACCGACTTACTCGCGTGATGGCACATTGTCGTGGGGACTGTTTGCGTGCCTGCGTGCGTCGCGTGCGTGCGTTGCGTTGCGTTGCGAGGTAGCGTGCGTGCGTGCGGGCGCGCGTGCGGGCGGGCGTGCGGTGCGTCGGGCGTGCGGCGCGGGCGGCGTGCTGTGCGTGGCGTGCGCTGGGCGTCGAACGCGTGGCGGGATGCGTGGGACGGGCGCTGCGTGCCGGGCGGGGCGATGCGTGCTGCGTGCGGCGTACCGGACGGCGCGTGCGTGCGCCGTGCCGCTGCGTTGCGTGCGGGCGGGCGTTGCGTGCGGGCGTGCGACGGGGTGCCTGCGGGCGGGCGGCGTGCGTCGACGTGCCGTGCAGGTTGCGTGCTTAGCGCGGCGGTGCGTGCGTGTCGTGCGCGCGCGTGCGCTGCCGTGCTAAACAACGGGGCCTGAGATTAGGCGAATGATTCTACTCTTGAAACGCAGAGCGAGCGAGAGAGCGAAGACAGCGCTGCGAGAGGAGAGGCGGAGACGAAGAGAGAGAGAGAGAGAGAGAGACACGGGAGAGCAGAGAGAGAGAGGAGCAGAGAGTGAATAGCGACGAAGAGGAGAGAGGCGAGAGAGTGACGGAAAAGAATAAATAGTGGGTGAGAAAATGCAATAAGGAAGTAGGATAATATAAGTAGTCAGAAGTGACATGGTTTGATAAAATATAACGGAGAGGAGGGGTGGTTGACATGTTTGATCTATGTAGCCTACCTATTGACGATGTTAACGTAAGAGACACTGTTTGATCCAGAAGAAGACCGGGTACAAGATGGCGTGCGCAAAAGAGCGTCTGTTCCCCGACCGCCGGAAAGGTTAAAGCCCGCCGCACTTCGCTCGGGACTGGGGCGCACGCGACCGCGGGCGTGTGTATGTAGCATCTGCGCTCGCCCGCTATCACGAATTCGGCGCGCCGAAGGAAGGCGGCGCGCACGAATGCGTTTACGTAGCGGCGCCTACATTGCGCGTTTTTTTTTTTTGATTCTGGGACACATACATCGGCCTCAGCGACATCGGCTTTGCGGATGGGGCGCGCCTTTCCGATTATAGACTTGACACGCGTTTGTACATTCCTCGAGCCGATTTGCTGAACCTTCACCTGCAGTATTTTCGTACCTTAGCTCTGGCGTTCTCCGACTCTCTTTCTCTCTTTCTTGGCCACTCCACGGTTGTCTCTCTCTCTCTCTCGTCTCTCTCTCTCTCTCTCGCTCCGCCGCACGGGATATACATAAGGTATCTTCAATATACATCGCATCAATGCTCGCAGCCAGGCATAACAAGGGCATGCACTTGCCAGCGCTTTCAAAAAATGTAATGCTAAATAAAGTACAAAATCATTACTACTGAAAGTCACGCCGGCGCAAAAACTCCCCGAGCCAGCTATTGTCTGGAGTATAGCAGTTGGCCGTGCTTCGGCCGCCAGTGATGCGCCGGCGAGGCAGGAGTCTTGGCAATGTCTGCCGCTCGCCGTCTTCGTAAAAACATTTGGCTGCGCATAGTATATATTTGTGTAGTCAGTGTGCAGCGGCGGTTATTGTAGCGATTAGCTCGTCGGTAAAACTGCCACGGGCCACCGCCGAGCACGTGCGTCGCACGACCGTGCCCGGTCGCCCACGGCAGCGCGGGGGTTCCAAGAGGTTGATAAAAACTCTCGCACGTATGGGCCAGGCCGCTTTTCCAGTATAACATCTTAGTGGAAATTCTCGGCTGTAAACCAAACATTCACATCAATGGGCTTAGCAATCAACGTCGGGCGGGTACTAAGATGGCTACGTATTTGAATCGCACGTCAACGATGCGAGTTAGACTTGGTAACGCGACCGTTAACTCGGGCCAGTTTCTTCTCGCTACTACTTAAAGTCTATAGTTAGCGCCAGCGTGTGGAACTCTTCCACCGCCGGGAGCCAGGTTCTAAGCCGACATCGGCCGATCCTTGTGTGAAAATGTATCCTTGAAGAATCCCTCCAAGAAGCGCCTCGTCCGCGCCATCTATGCCACGCCATATGTACCGAGAATTTAAACTTCAGGGCGCCTGAAACGGAAATGGAAATTGCTTTTCTAGGACGAAAAGGAAACGCGCCGACCAGCAACACGAGCAATTACAGCATTGCTATTGTATTCTCGGAACGCCTCAACTTGACCGATTATACGCGCTTTATCCTGCCTAGCCAAAGGGCCACTGGCGAAATTTGTCTAATATAGCGCAGAAATAAGATTTCATTGCTCACTGCTGCGCGAGGCGTTTGCGCGCTTTGCGCGGATATCCGGGCTGCAGATCATCTAGGTACTTACTTATGAGCAGCATGATTAACGTAAAGGAGACATGTTTGATCTAGGTACCTACCTATGAGCAGCATGATGAACGTAGAGGAGACATGTTTGAATCTGTAAGCGGGTTACTGGACACCTCCTTCTCCTGGTCCTGCCTTTTACAGTCGCCCATGAACCAGAACCGCTGTAACCGCTCCAGCATGCCTGCAACACGTACACGCCGACACTCTTATTCACCAGCGCTCACTCACCACACGTACACACGCACGCACGCACGCACGCACGCGTATACACACACACGCGCGTGCGCGCGCGCACGCACGTACACGCACGCACGCACACACATGCGGTTAGCGCCACTAGCAGAACGCGTGGACACAATCCCTACAAATTAGCAGAAAACATAAACCGTTCTTTATCCTCGGTCATAAGACATAAGCTGACATACAGGTTCTTGTCAAAATGCATTAATTGGTACTTGTTTCTGTCAGAAGACATATATTGATGCTCCTTTCCTGTAAAATACATTGACCCCTATCCCTCTCAAAAGACACGAACCGACCCCCTGATAACAATTTTATCAGGTGACATGAACTGACCCCTTCCCTCTATCCCTGCGATAAGACATTAGCTGACTCCATGAACACCACCCGCTCTCTGTAACGGAGCAAGGTTGTTGCTTGATGCGTCACCAGGTGGCGTACCTGACTCCCTGTAGGCGAGCACTTGTCTGTTGATCTTCTTTATGAACTTGGAGTTCTTCGGGAAGGCTATACCATACCCTGTCATCGCGAACCAGCTCCCGACCTGCAGCAGCCTGCAGTCGTTGTCCTGCCCCACAAGGTACTGCAGTGCCATCGCATCATACACGAACGCGTGAAGTTTCCTGTAACGTGAGCACGCACGCGCCGTTAACTCCACGCTCTAACACCAGGGGGCGTAGCAGTGGGAAGTGGAGCCCAATGGTGGCCGGTGGTGAGTCAGGCGGGAGATGCTGATCTAACTGTGTGTGTGTGTGTGTGCGTGTGTGTGTGTGTGTGTGTGCGTGTGTGTATGTGCGTGCGTGCGTGTGTAAAGTGACGTAGCGACAGCAGCGTTTGTCCAACCACCGACTCGATAATCTCGAGTCATTAACGACTTCGATAACGCAGTCCCATGACGTAACGCTCCAATGACATCACGGTCCAATGACGTCACGGTGACATTGTTAGATTCTCAGCCGACCAATCAGAGCGTGGCTGACAGGATAACGTCTGCTCTCATACTGCGCGTGTGACGTCGGCAGCCGTGTGGTCCACGCCTCCTAGCGAGAGATTCTTAATGAGAACGTCATTTAATTTAACATAGCGCACGGCGGCGCGTGTGATGCGACACATGATGGCTGCATACTGGCCATGGAGAGGTGCTGGTGTGTCGCATTCCTCGTGACGTCACACTGAAAGGCAGCCGACATGATTAACTGTGTTACGTGATGATGTTGTAAGAGGTTACGGGGGTTATGCCCAGGCAATGAAGTGTTTGTCATCATCATCTGACGTGATGTAACATGGCTTAATGTAGTGGGATAGCTGGACGAGACAATTATGAGATGTAACATGATGTTATCTTACGGACCACGAGACGTAACACGACACGGCGTGATGTAGATTTGCATGATAATGAATGATTAAGATGAGGTCTAGTACAAAAAGATGATACATGTCATGACGGGTCATGATGTAGCGTGATGCGACATGGTGCTACATGATGTAGCGTGATGCGACATGGTGCTACATGATGTAGCGTGATGCGACATGGTGCTACATGATGTAGCGTGATGCGACATGGTGCTACATGATGTAGCGTGATGCGACATGGTGCTACATGATGTAGC